GTCGATATCCAACGCCCTACCTGCCAAATAGGATCCGCCCTCATGAGGGTTGGGTGTGCACACCAAATAGGAGTATTACATAAGTGAGATATAGATTTCTCAAGAAAAATGTAAGAAAAATAAATCCCTTGCGCTTTTGAAAATCGGGAGAGAAGGAAATAAATCATGTGGGCATCTACAGGAGGCTACGCTCAGTTGTGTGGGCTGGACCGGAAAGCCCACTATGCGAACACGACGAGGACATGCTACTCCCCTTTGGCTGCAGCACGACTTTGTCTCGCCTATTGCGACAGAAAGCAGTAGCTAACCACCTGGTAAATGCACCAGCCCCATACTGTTCTGCATTTCTTTTATCTTTTTTGGTTAATCGAATATTTCTCAAATAGATTTAAATTTTAGCAAGACACATTTGGCATACCCTAGAAGTTCTAACTAATAATACACTAGAAACCGGTTTTTTTTGTTAGATTATATGCCTTAAAAATCTCTATCATGACGTGACATTAGTATATATAAAAACACAAATGCAATTATAAATTTATACACTATATAGTTAATACAACTTTTATAAAATAATTCAAAGATGTTTTTATATCATGCAATTTAAATTTGATATGTGTAATTTTGTATTGATATATATATATATATATATATATATATATATATATATATATATATATATTAAAATTGCATCACGAAAAGAGAATAGGTATTATTTACAAAAATCCTTATGTTGTTAAATATGCTATCTCACTAATGTATAAGTGTTGTAATTAAAGATACAATATTTCATAACTTGTTTAAAGAAGAACAAAAGTTTATTACAAAAATATAGGTTTTACTATGCATCGGGTCCAATAGGTGTTTGAATTGGCCTGGAACTGGAACGAGCATGGGTTGGGGTTGCTACGGTGCAGGGGCGGCCAGCGATGGGAGGAGGACGTGCACATAGAACTTTGTTATTCAGGGCTTCTTCTAAAATGAAAACATGTATACGCAGTTCACTGCAATACTAGTAGAAAAATGGTCAAACGTGAGACACATTATGTAACGCCCTCGATGCGGCAATAGTCTTCGTCGAACTCCCACTTGAGCTCAAGCGCCTCATCTGGAACAGAGTCATCGGGCCCTGCATCTAGTTTGGAAGTAATCTGTGAGCCATGGGGACTCAGCAATCTCGCACTCTCGCGATCAAGACTATTTAAGCTTATAGGTAAAGGCAAGTTAGTATGTGGAGCTGCAGCAAGCGACTAGCATATATGGTGGCTAACCTGTTCGCAAAAGAGAGCGAGAAGAGAAGGCAAAGCGCGAACGAAGAATTAGAGAACAACCTACGGCAAACATTACTCCAACACCGTGTTCACTTCCCGGACTCCGCCGAGAAGAGACCATCACGGTAACACACACAGTTGATTCATTTTAATTAAGTTAAGGTTCAAGTTATCTACAACCGGACATTAACAAATTCCCATCTGCCCATAACCGCGGGCACGGCTTTCGAAAGTTCAAATCCCTGCAGGGGAGTTCCAACTTAGCCCATGACAAGCT